GGTGTGTGTGTGTGTGTGTGTGTGTGTGTGTGTGTGTGTGTGTGTGTGTGTGTGTGTGTGTGTGTGTGTTTTAAAAAAAGATAAAGAAATAGAAGCAGAATGGAGTGAAGAAAATAAGGAAAAGAGTTGGAAAAAGAACTAGGGGAGAAGAAAAAAATGGGGGACAGGTAGAGTGGCCAAAACCTTGAGATTACCATGAAGTAAACTGACAATATAATAAACCGAGTGCATACACCTGTCCCCGTGGTTTTATGCCCCCCGCATAATTTAGCAAAATTTGATAATTTTTTTGCATAATTTCTTATTATTTTCCTCTATCATTCTTAGTTAAAATTAACAGAATCGCATAAGTTTTGGGCTCAGTTTGCATAATTTCAGAATTTTTCTTGCATAAAATGACGGTGACACACGTACGGTGTACAATGTACTGACATTTTGATGAAAATGATGGGTTCTTTGTTAATGTGTAGCGCAAATTCCCCCTGTGCAGCAATCTCCATTAACTTCAGTACAATCTATATTATTTCTCCCCCTCCCCCTCCCCCTCCCCTTTCCCCACAGGGTCCTAGTCCTTGACGCTGGTCTGGTCAAGGAGTTTGATTCCCCGGCCAAGCTTCTGGAAGACACCAGCTCCACATTCTACTCAATGGCCGTGGACGCCAACCTGGTGTGAAGGCCCACGGCTCGCCTTGTGCGTGGAGCCAAGAACTTTTGTGGTTCCATTCCCACTTGTCAAGAGACGCTCAGTCATCATAATTTTGTAAATTGTAGCTCTCTGCATTCGTGAATGTCATTACGCGTGGAGCTAAGCACTTTTGTGGTTCCATTCCCACTTGTCAAGAGACGCTCAGTCATCATAATTTTGTAAATTGTAGCTCTCTGCATTCGTGAATGTCATTACGCGTGGAGCTAAGCACTTTTGTGGTTCCATTCCCACTTGTCAAGAGACGCTCAGTCATCATAATTTTGTAAATTGTAGCTCTCTGCATTCGTGAATGTCATTACGCGTGGAGCTAAGCACTTTTGTGGTTCCATTCCCACTTGTCAAGAGACGCTCAGTCATCATAATTTTGTAAATTGTAGCTCTCTGCATTCGTGAATGTCATTACGCGTGGAGCCAAGACCTTTTGTGGTTCCATTCCCACTTGTCAAGAGACGCTCAGTCATCATAATTTTGTAAATTGTAGCTCTCTGCATTCGTGAATGTCATTACGCGTGGAGCTAAGCACTTTTGTGGTTCCATTCCCACTTGTCAAGAGACGCTCAGTCATCATAATTTTGTAAATTGTAGCTCTCTGCATTCGTGAATGTCGTTACACAGTTGCATTTGAGGTTTTCTTTGTTTGAGGAGAAGGGGAGTGGAGTTGAGAGTTCTGAATTGTTTTTGTGTTATATGTTGTTCTACTCGTATGTACCTTGTTAGTGCATTAGGGAGTGTGTGGTCATCTCTTTAAAAAAGAAAGAAAGAAAGAAAGAAATCTGTCCCCGTTGTTTTATGCAAGAAAAGTTCTGAAATTATGCAAACTGAGCCCAAAAATGTGAAATTATGGGATTCTGTTAATTTTAACAAAGAATGATAAAGGAAAAAAAATCAGAAATTATGCAAAAAATGATCAAATTTTGCTAAATTATGCGGGGTGCATAAAACCACGGGGACAGAGAAATGGAATCTGTGGTCTAGTGCTTAGGCGCTTTGCCGTCGTACGTCGTACAATGCAGACGTAAATTCGATTGCCGTGTGAGGAGAATTTTTATGAAGTTTCTCCGTCTGTCTGCTGGGTAGGGTCGAAGCACCCCGCTTCCTAAATGATCTGAAGTGCACCGACACAGACGAAAAGATCTACATTTTTTAACCAAGGAGCGTTGTGCAGCTTTGTATGGAGGGGGGGGGGGGAGAATACGTGTTTGAAGAAGTTTGTACAGCTCTTTTAAAGTTTGTTTTGACCTAACTCTCATATTGTCCATTTCTTCTTAACGTGAATCGTAAGTCTTCATAAACTGATTTCTTTATATTCATGTGCGTTAAAGTACTCATCAGTTCTTATAATTATTAGAGTACTATGTGCTCCGCCATTCCTTTTTTGTGCGTATTCTTTGAGAATGTATTTGATTTCGTTTTACTGTTCAGGCACTATGCGCACCATTGTTCCTCTCTGCACTGCATATATACCTTCGGGTATTTATTTAGCCGTTTTCATTTATCGATTGAATAAATAATTTATGTGAATTGTTTATTCTTTTATTTGTCTATTCATTTGTCCTGGCTGAATTTAGACAGTCATCAAGAATAGTTGTTGTTGCAGTTTTGATTTCGCGTATGTGCTCTGGTTAGAAGTTAGAACATGGTTGACACCAATTGTAGGCCGACTAGATTCTAGGGGCGGGGAGGGGGTTGTTACAATCGGGGTCTGTGTGTTTATTTGTTGTTGGGGGGGTTCTTTTTTTTTCTTTGTTTGCTTATTTTTTGTTTGTTTTTATCATGGGCTTATCATTGTTATCACTTCTGCTGTCATTTAGTAAATGCAGCCAGAGGGTCTCCGGGTTTTAATGAAATGTATCGCTGATAGGACCAGGCCAAGGGATAGACATTTGAAAATTCTCAAATCAAACTGAACCTAATTAGGAGTTTATGTGCACTCGGTAGTTGCAGTTTCAGAAGATCAGACTAGATTTGTGGTTGTCACCTTGGGCGATGACGCCCTCGAGTGGGTGATTAGATCATTTTGAGAGGCGATGGGGATCACCAGGCTAATGGCAGGTATTATTTAATGCCACGCTTGGAAATATGTTGTACATGTAAGGGTGGGGGGAGGGGGAGGGGGTGTGATAACGTTTGCCTTTTAATTAAGGGTGATAAAAGAGGGCGTTGTCAACACAAAGGTTAACAGACACTGGTCTTTAAAAAATTAAAAGAAAGCATTTTTTAAAGTTTAGACTACGATGAGTAAGCAGTAAAGTTGTCTTGGTGACACAGCTGTTCTCAGACATCAGTCCACACAATATGCGGTACCTTATGGTTTTAACGCCCCCTTTTGACAGCGTAAGGTCATTTAAAGATAGTAGGCGAGACACCAGAATTTGACATTCATCTCCAACTTCTGAATTCTTTTTAAATGTAGGTACGTGTATCAATCTAGATCATTTAGGAGGGGTTGGCTCCAACCACTGTCTGTCAGGGACACTCTATGCTGAGAGGGATACATATACAAAGTCCCGGCAAAAAGATCAAAGTACTCAATGATAATGTATCCCTACACGGAAATTGAACTTAATTCTTCTGCATGAGACGATAAAACATCTAATCGCTACAGAACTGATGCTGGTGAAGAGCATTGAAAAATGAAACTCCTTCAAACAACAGCAGATTAAGAATGTCCTCCAGGGGATTCTATCAATGGTCGTCTTCTCCGCTGTGCGACCTGACGCCGTCAGATATTAACACGTTCAAACACCAGTTTTTGTTAGTTTTTATAAGGTTTTTCGGCGTTCGCAACTACATAAGGTCATATGAGCGCCAAGGGGAGAATGTCAAGAGAAAAGTCCAAACGGGGAATCAAGCTTACTCTGCTCACCTCTCTAGCCTCAACATTAGAGATTAAAATAAGAACATCTGGACATGCAGAAATAAGACAAGTAAGTGCAGTGGCGGTGGGTGGATCTAAATCTGGGTGACTGGGTAGGGCTCATAAATGAGGGCGGGTTGAGTTCAAAGTAAAGATATACTCTGTTCGGAGTGTGTGAGCTTTCCGTGTCAGTGGCCGGGGAAAGTGGATGGGGGTGGATCGGGCGGTTCTAAGAACAGTGCAAACAAGAGAGAAAAGCTCAGAACGATATTGCATGCATTGTACTCACCTACTTGTAGAGCAGGTAAGCACGCCTCGTTTTCAGGCTTGCAAATTTTTCGATGACACAATAGTAAAACTGATGTATGTCCTGGACGTCGTTTTTGTGAATGGAAAAGACGGCCAAAGCATTGAGTCTCTCTTGCTCCATTGCATTTCTCATGAAATTTTAAATCCTCTTTAGGGTGCTGAAGCAGCGTTCTGCTTCTGTAGATGCTACAGGTGTTGTAAGAATAATCTGTAACACTTTGTGAAGTTCTTTGAAATTTTCCTGCAGATCCACAGAAACTATGAACTGGTGGAGAGATGAGACAGTCTGTGTTGAACACGAATGAAAAGAATCATTTGTGTATAGAACTTGTAGTTCACTCACCAGCCGCTCCTTGCTTAGAAATGGGTAGGAAGCGATGAGGGTGTTGACATGCTCTTCGGGGAAATTCTGTGCATGCTGCCTGAACAGCCGTGGGTCTACAATACAAAATGCTCTTATGAACTCTGACCTCATCGGTCGCTGTTTCACCTGTGTGATCAGAGTATCACAGACTTCCTTTGCTGTTATATTTGCTGATGTTGACTCTGTCGCCCGCCTTTTCCCATGCCGCGTTGCGCACTCTGGCAATGTTTCCCTTATTTGTTGTAAAGAATGTGTGAAACTAGCAAGAGCTTGGTTTGCATCTTGTCCATTTGTTGTCCTAGCTTGAAATATGCTGAAGACAGTGTCAGTATGATAGAGTATGGTGTTGAAAAATTTCAGTAAGTAAGTGAAATTGATATCCCCAAGAAGATGTCTGAGGCCAAAAGCTTCTCTTGCTGTGACAGAGTCCCACGCTTCAGACGATTCCATCTCACGAAAACATTCTATAAGACTGTCCTTGTTCTCATATACACTGCTGACCAGTCTTGACTGGAAATTCCATCTTGTCGGACATGGACCAGGCAATCGTCTCTCGGAAACTTCCCTTAGAGCATCCGATCTTTTCAGAGAGACAGAAAAGAACGACGAAAAACCAGAAAGACTTGAAAAGAAGAGCCTGACATTTGGATGTGCTTTGTTAATTGCTGCAAGACAAGGTTTGTCTGATGTGCATAACAGTGGACAAAATGTGCCTCTGAGAAATGTTCTTTCAACAGAGTTTGAACTCCCTTTGTAGATCCACTCATCACAGATGCTCCATCATGTGTTTGGGCTATTAACATACACTTTTCGCCCACACCTAGTCTATGAAGCTCTTCTGTCAGCACTGTCGTGAGTCCCCGTGCTGATCTGTCTGTGACATTAACAAACTTGACAAACCGTTCAACGGGACTGTTGTCTTTCATGAACCTAACTGTTATCACAAACTGAGACTTGCAGGAGATATCAGTTGTTTCATCTGCTGACACTGCAATGAAATTTGCTTTTGCGATTGATTCTTTGAGGTCTTCAAAGTAAACATCATAGATGCATTCCAATATTTCATTTTGTATTGTGTTTGACGTGTACCTAGCCACAGATGCAGTTTCCAAATGCTCTTGGATCTGATTATCCAGTGTAGACAGGAAAGTGATCAAATCAAGAAAAACTCCCTTGTTAGGAGACGAAACTGATTCATTGTGTCCTCTGAGAGGCAGCTCGTGGAAACCACAAAACATGATGCATTCAATGATTCTATTTAAAACGTGCCTGTTTTTATTAACTTGCTTATTGTGGAGTTCCACTGACAGCCGATGACCTTCATTTGTTTGAGATGCTATGTTCACTTTCTCGAAGGACTTGTAACGAATAGCACTGTTCAAATGCCCACTGCTCCTTTCATGTCTCTGAATTCTCTCATGGACATGTTTTAATTTTTTTATTTTTTAAACCAGTCGTGACCCACGTTACGTACACTTTTTTACCACCACATAGCAACCAATAGAAACAAAATAACGATGCATTTTCTGTACTCACGGTAAGCCAAGGGAATTTTGAGAACCACTCAGACGAGAAAAGTCGTCTTTGTCTTCCATCTCTTTGTTCTAACTTAAAATCTTCAGGCTGGTGAGGACCAAGCCGTTTCACCTCCAGCTTTTCTTCTAAATTTAGCCGGTGAAAAGATCGCTTTAAAAGTACTTCGACGTGATTCATAACTGACAAATCACCACTGCACTAACATAGACACGCACACAAAGCATTGCAAACACATTCCATTTATGAAAACAAACAGTAAGGTGCAACTGGATAAGGCCGTGTAATCCCAGAGCAGAGCGCAGCGAGACATTGTAATTAACGAAGTACCAATGATCGTGCCGGTAACTAGGTCATTGGGGAAAGCGTGCCGTAAACTTTCACTCCCAGTGTTGTAAAGTATTTTTTTAATCGTTTATCTTTCTCCAAGAAGAGTTTCATTACGAAAGGACCGTGGGAACCGGCTCATCCCCTCTAAGCCCTGAAGACATTTCATTGGCTGTTAGGCTACTATCATTGTACATGGTGATGAACAGTGATTGGATAAACAAGGCGGGAGAACCTTGAGCAAACATAGCGGCCCTAGCTAAACATTTCTTTAATTAAGAGCCATTCTTTTGTTTCCAGGGAAGGGATGGGGGAGGGGGGGGGGGGGCTCAAGCCCGTTAGCCCGTCACTACGCCCCGGCACTGAGTAAGTGAAAAGATAAACAGAGGATTACACAGTATTGGGGATATTGTCTTTAATCAACAAGCACTTATGATTATATTGTTAAGTATAGTCTACTGGAATTAAGCTCATGAGATTTGGCATGGCGCATGCAAAATAAAAGTACAAGACTCATAAAATGCTCATTTTTTTATGTAGTTAAAGTATTATGTAATTAAATTCGCGTCCCTGCAACTGCATACCTTATATTGCCCACTACTGAGGCACAGCAGTACGTCATGTAGCAGTACTTAACCCTAGTCCCTAAGGGGAGGTATGAGGGGTATATGGGCGGGTAGGGGGGGATTAATGGGGGTGGGTATTGGGTTGGGTATGAGGGGAAGGGAGAGGGATGAGGGGTATGGAGGGAATTTGGGGAGGGATATGGGGTATGGAGGGGATTTGGGGTTGGGTAAGGTATAAGTGTAAGAGAAGGGTTAAGTAGGGTACGGGTGAAGGGTGTAAGGGGAGGGATGTGAGGTTGGGCAAAGTAAGTAAGGGGGGGGGGTGAGAGGTGTGGTGGGAGATATTTGGGGTTGGGTATAGGGTATAGGGTAGGGGTATGGGTATGGGGGGTGGGTGGGGAGGTTGGTTAGTGTACGGGGTAAGTAATTGGGGCGGGGAGGGGGTGAGGTTTGGAGCAGAAAGTGAAGTATTTGTTAGGGGTAAGGATTATGTCACCATCTTTTCCCCATTTCCCCGCCCTTCCACAGGCACAAAAGGACATCAACAATGTGACTTGAATAGACGAGGTGTGGAGGGAAATTAATATTTGATATTAATACGACACATTATTGTGTTTATGATTTTCGGCATGCTCCAAAATAGCTGAACTGAACGACAAGCGTACTGACATCAAAGATCGTGTGCGGGAGTAGAGAATATTTTCTTTGCTGACATTGCAAAAACAATCAGGCGGATCTCCTTTTTCAATTATTTTTTTTTGCACAACAAAACACGAAAAAAAACAATCTATCTGCGACATTTGGAACTGCGTTTCAGTGTGTGTGTGTGTGTGTGTGTGTGT